GATAAGAGCCGATACACAAGTCAATTCCGCAGTCATTCTTGCTTGATTCTGGTAGTACGCCGGAAGTAGCGCAGAAATATTTGGGAAGAATGCATTCAAAAAATTCAGTGCTACTTTAACAAATCTACTAACTAATGGCCGCCTCAAGTTATTTTCATTTTTTTTTTATTTGTAGAACGTTCTGCTGTGCTAGATGAGATACCTTCGTACAAAATTGTATGTAATCTAAAGATTTTACTCCATCCTCAACTTATTACCATTTTGTTCCTAAATCTATAAAGCTTTTGTTCAAGATCTAATGATTTATCCCACGGTAAAGCAGCATGTTGAATGTCTTTATCACATATTTGAGCTACCTGTGGAATTCATTTCACGTACTACTGAAAAAAATTATATTCAAAGTGATTCCGTATGAACAACGATTGAATATGCGATTATTTTACAAAATGATCTGTTACAACTGTACAAATACCTCTTATTATGTAACTCAACAATCCACAAACACTGTATTTTTAATATGTTAAATCAGGCAAGACATCGATGTTCCCTGATAATCTATATGATTCACCAAGATAAGCCTATACGAATATAAACTAGTAATATAGATATAACTTTCGTTCATCCGACCTCAGGCGGCCAACCATGGGCAGCTGATTCGTGCTAATTGTTAATTGCTCAGCTACGCTTATTGTTTCCACTCTCACAGTGGTCGATTCTGGTAATAGATGGCACTTTATGCTGCTGTATTTCTATGCAGATATAATTATGAAAATATTTGAGAGTTGCGAGCTTTTTTTTATATTTTGTAAGTATATCCCGGAAATATTTTGCTGTATTTGATACTTTTTTATGTGATAAAGTTTATATATATTTTTTGGATGCTACATCACTAAAATCCATATGATTCGTTTCCGTCTGTCGGTGTGTTTGTCTGCTAATTCTTGAACCCTCTGAAATTCTGATAGTACTACATGGATTCTTATGAAATTTTGGCACAATATTACTACTATACCAAGGAAAAAAATATTTCGAACATTGCTCTAGTAGTGGTGAGCGACAAGCAAAGGAAAAAAATAATAATCGCTCAAGCTTTGTTTTTCGACGTTTAGGAGACTAATTGCTTATTTTTAGATTTTGTTTGGAGGGGTTGCAAATTGAGGGTTGGGAGTTATAGAGGGTGGAGGGGGGTTGTGAGTCTTTGGTATCATTGAAAGACGTTATAATATTAAAAAAATTCTCATACCATTGACATTACGCACTTATTAGACATAATAGTCACACATTATGTTACATTAAAATTGTAGTACATGGAAATTGTTTGATTTCTTCATATTATGTTTCGTCTATCGATGGGTTCAAATCAAAGCGTCAAACAAATCTAAGTGAACATTTTCAAGAGAAGAGTTGTCTCCATTTTTCTAATAATCTATAAATTGCCTAAATTGATGACCATATTCTTCTAAGCTATCTCCAAAATCTCAAAGAAAAAACAATAGCATAGCAAAGTAACCAAATTAAGATAAATGAGATAAATGTCATTTTTAAAAGTACATATGTTTCGTTAAGAAACGAAAATATACAGACTTAGCCGACTTAACGAGGAAAATGTGGAACTTACTGCATAGGATCAGAATTGTCTGCAACAGGAGTCATACCAAAAGAGCTTCATAAAATTGTCTATAATACTTGGGCTAAGCCCAAGAAATATTCAGACTCTTACAGAAAGCTGTCATACTAAATGGGACTCGAATAGTGCGACGATTGTTGAGCCAAGAATAGGCAAGAGTGCTTACTGAGAAACACCCGTACCTCGTCAGAGGCCAGGAAAAACCTGAGATAAAAAACTATAATAATAATAATAATAATAATAATAATAATAATAATAATAATAATAATAATAATAATAATAATAATATCTAATAACAATAACAATAATAATAATAACAATAATAAAATATGTTTATTGGAACACAAATGTACATCACATCTTGTTCCTTATAGGCGGAGTCTAGATAAATCCATCCCACTCAACCAACTCCAATAACAATATCAGTAACTAAGGAGAACGGAATATTTCATCATATAAGCATTGCGAAGCGTATAAAAAATGCACATTCAAAAATTCAATAAACATGTAACAAAGACCACAATGAAAGGATGAAAAATAAAATACAATGAGCTAAAAGAATAAACTGAACCAATCTGCCAATATAACGTTAACTATGTAGAGTTAGAAGAAGCTGTTTGGATTGTTTTTTCAGTCTATTTCCTGACATAGTTTTCAGATGTTCACTTGTATCATTGTGTATTTCGATGGAGTTGTATTTAAACGACCGACGCAAATATCCGTCCTACTACGTCGAGATGCAAACTTTTTATAAAGGTATATAAATATACAGGGTGACTTCGAAGTTGAGTCATTTATTTTAACAGTGAGTAGATCTGATCAAAAGAAATGTTTTTTCCTTTAACATTTTTCTGGTAAAATTAAAGTAACAAAGTTATAGCCCTTTGAAAGTTTGAGTACCGCCCTGTCTCAATAATAATATTATGTGCTCGTGTTTGGCAACAACGGATATAATCCGCCTTATCGGTTCATCGCATCGGAAACAAAAAAGCGAAAGAATTTGAAACGCTGATCACGATGTTTTTATTCAGTCAATGTGTCAGTCGGTAACGCGTGAGTGAATAGTGGTGTTTGCTGCGTGGCTCAAACGAAATAAAAAATGGCACATGTTTTTGCGGATCGGTTTCCCAATCGAGTGCAAATAACCCCTCGTGCCTTTGTTAATGTAGTACAGCGGGCTCGTGAATCAGGTGACTTTAGACCTCAAAGGGGAGGGCATGCCGGTGCTCCAAGACCTCACGATCAAATACAGGTCCGCACTGAAATACTTGTCGGGAGGATACTTTATAAAACAAGGTAAATTTTTTTTTTTATTTTTTTTTATTTTTACACACATATTTGGGTTTATCTTCCTTCTACAATCATTATCTGAAAATTAATGACTCAACTTCAAAGTCACCCTGTATATATATAGTAGGAAAATAATGGGCAAAATCCGCAAAAAGGAGGAAAGTGGATTCGAGCAGAAAATAGGATATTTAACCCGAGCGATACGAATCCACTTTCCTTCTTTTTGCGGATTTTGCCCATTATTTTTATATATAAGTAATAATATAACATGAAAATCCTGATTATTGTCCATACGGGCAGATTGTTGCATTCTCTTAGGAATAATATAAAAAAAAAGGTTTTGCCTTCATTTACTAGGCATAAGAGAGGAAATGACCCAACTCATTGAATAAGGTATTCTACTTGATGATAACCGATCATATAGCTGCCTCCAAAAAGGGATCTAAAAGATACTAGCGCCTTCTATGTGATTGTAGCAGCATAGAAAAATGAATCTAGAAATTTACTTTGAACTGAGAATGCTTGGTTCTACTACTGTGCCGTAGATAGCGCTAGAAGATTCAACCTCTTTTTGTAGCCTCTTTCAATTAGGAATCTTCAGGCATTAATTCAGGCATTTTACATGAAAATAACCAATTAAAATACTCACTGCGAGAGGGAATGGTAACTATCTGATGAAACGGCCAGAATCGATTGTATCTAGCGGTCACAGTTATACCTGCTAATTGTACCTACACTTAATATAACAATAACAAAATGGGGATTTTGAGCACTCTCCTGTACATAAATATATTGTAAAACCGAAAAAAGGTTTAGAAACGCCTAATTTTTTTGTGCATAAATGTAAACTGTAACTGAACCTGAATAAATCCTGCAAAATATTAACAGTAACAACCTCTTTCAACTAGTTTAGTGTAGATACACTTACTATCTATATGATAAGTAAATAACCTATACTATCTCTCCTATCTTACTTAGAATGAAGAATACCATCCTTGCTTCAAAAATTTCCGGAAAATAAAAGAATAACATCATTTAACGTAAGCCGTGATAAACCAGACGTACTGATTCCATAAAGTCACCCACATTAATTATATGGTTTGTTGTCTATTTACCACAAACATATTGCTGGCTCTCAAACTTTTCCCCGAGGACTCCAAATATTTTGTTTTAATCATCCATCGATATCATTCAACTTGGATCCCTATCATTTATTTGACAAATAATGTCCAACTCACCACATCTGCATGCTGTGCTTATTTATGTCACAAAGTTCATGTATTTTAATCCGCAAGGAATTCCAGAAAAACACCGCAGTTAATGTTTAGTATGGTATTTCGTGCAACATATAGACGCACCTTAAGAATCTCTGAGAATATTGTAATATAATACAAGTATACCTGCTTTGAAAAGGACTGAGAGAGTGAGAATCGAAAACCTCTTTCAACCAGTTTCATGCAGATATAGTTACTCTTACTGTCTACCTGCTAAATAAATCATTATAAGTTCCTTGTTGCGGTCAAAACACATTTTGATGTCTAAATTTTTGAAAAGCAATCGTTTGGATTAATAGCTTAACATCTGAATGGCTCTTTTTGAACAAAAATTCAAAAAAATGTTGATATAGAGGGTGTGTCAAAACTTGCGTGCAAAAATATAAGGAGTCAAAGGTTTTCTCACAAACCACTATATATGTCATACGTTCGTTATAATGTAAATGAGTTAAACTTTTTTGAATATTAAATCATAATGTTTATACTACTTTGGATCGCGAGTGGAAACCTCCTATAACCAGTTTCATGCAGTTGAGCTAGTCAATTAAAAAAAATAAGTACAAGGAAAAGCTACAACAAGTAATAAATCTTTATTTTTTCAAGTAAACGGCTCATTGTTCTGAATTTTATAATTCGTCTTATGTTTTCGTTCCTTGCTCATACACATAGGTCGTATTAAGCGATAGCCGACTTTGTTATTATGGAATTTATTAGAAAAAAAACAAATACGCGATTATATCATGCGCATATTAGAATCAATAGTTATTTTTTAAAATCGCGAGCTATGTTAATTTTCCTAGATTAGGGCGCGCAGCCTTAGGCTGCATTTCGCGATCAAAATTCAACAATTGGTAATAAAATTTTGATTTGTATGTTTGATTGACGCTCTGCGGTTGTTTTAAGGTATAACTAAATGTAAAAATTAAACTTACCAGTATGAACAGAGGCTAGGCTTACTTCTGAATCAAGTCGGCTTCGCGCGCGTATGTTCGTGTACGATCTGTGTGTAACCTCGTGTGTTCGCCAAGAAAACCCGATATAAACTGACAGATAATAGTGGAAACAAAACTGCGATAAGCATACACGATTTTGAACATATTTGTTTACAACGTGGGGTGGTGGGAATTCAAATTGTTCATAATACTGCTGCCGCCTCCAAACCACGCAGTCTCATCTGGTGAATGCTTAATTGGTTTTAAATGACTCATTTTGGGTACCTAGACATGGTTTCGGATTTAGATGCTCCTGAGAGAAGCTTTGAAATTTGTAGATGCTGGGAAAAGGCCCTAAACTACGAATACATTATCAAAATTTGAGGAAAGCTTTAATATTATGGATATTTGAATACTATAGGTACCTTTCTGTCTTAGATAAGCACGAGAAATCTTCAGAATTGGAAAGCATTGAAGTACGGATACATCTATGCTTTGAGTGTTTTCAAGTTCAAAGAAAGAAAAGTTAAATTATTCTGGGGCTGGCTATGGAATATAAAATCTCTATTTTGTAATACGGCTTTTTGGAATAACGAATGTTCTATGCTTTTCAGTTAGGATAAATCTATGGAAGCTTCAGAATTTGACATTAGCGGAGCTCACGTGATTCTGAGTTCAAGAAATTAGTCATTCTGAGGAAATGGTTGAATCTAAGAATTTGAAATTATAAAACCGGGGCGCTGCGACTGCTATATAAGGAGCTTAAAGGTATCTTCTTCATCCGATTTTTGAACTGCTTAAAGTATGCAGAGCTGAGAAAAGCCTCGTACCGACCAGTTCTGTATTTAAGTTCGACAGAGATAGATTAGGAAGCAGAAGATTGGCGACTATGTCTGACAGGCTCAACGCGCGACGAGATCATGGCGTAGAGCTCTAAGGAGCAAAACCCGTTGATACAGTAGTGGACGAGAGCCAGATCGCCGACCAACCAACGGTTCGTTAGATGTAATGTCATCGATCAGTCGGTTAGACTTGGTGAACAGCATCCAGCACAGCCAATGTGGTCTGTGCAGCAGCACCCCAAAGATGTGCGCAGTACTCGATTGTTGGTCTTATCTAGGCCTTGTACAGTATAAGGAGGATATGTAGAAAAAAGTACGTCTTAGCCCCAAGCAAATAATCTTGACCCTCTTTAAGCAGCTGTTGCGACTGGCGAGATGTATTCGTGCCAAATCAAGTGCTCGGTGATCTGAACAGCGACCAGCTGAAATAAATGACTCTTTGGCCATCCATCAAAACCGGCTGAACGCTAGGGTGCTTCTTGTTAGTCAACATACAGTACTGTGTTTTGGAAGCATTGAACTGTACCATGTTGTTGATTCCTCAAGCAGTGGTAACTCCCCAATGCCTCGCCAGAGAGGAAATTTTTGACTAGTCCCCTTTTCTCCAGCTTATCAGAGCAAATATCGAGCATCAAAATATGTTATATTTAGATGCTTTCAAAAGGGGCTTGATTTTACAAGAAAAGAAAACCGAAATTGCAAAGTATCTCTATTCGATGTCACGGACGATTTTGAGGAAAGCTACGAAACTATAGGTATGTGATTTCGAGGAAACGTCCCTATGAAATCAGGTGCTTTCGATTATGGATAATTTTTAGGAAATCCTCTAAATTAGAAGATTTTGACGACAATCTAGAAATTACAGGTTTTTGGTTTTAGGGGATTTTGAAGAAAACTCAATAATTAGATAATATTCGGACATCTCAGTTTATGTTAATAAACTGTTTAGATACCAATATTCTAAGGCCAATAAAGAATCATTTCTGTCCATTTTAGTCTCTATAGGTTGGCTTTTATGGTCTGATATACCATGGAAATTGGAGTTTGCCCATGCACAGCTGGACTCCAAATACGTTTCAAAGACCAGACAATATTACCAGTAATTTTGATTAAACGCGACGTTCTCTCTTCTAAGCAAACTTCCGTTCTACGGCCTTCCAAAAAGGATTAGCCTCTGGCATCTTCTCGTAAGATATTGTATGAAGTTGATGTATTTTCCTTTTTATTCCGCTATCTCAACATAAAATTGCTTCTATGTAATTCTACCTTTCAGTCGAAATCAATCTGTCAGTTATCATTATCGTATTTACCTATCTCTTTCACATAAAATTCCTGAACTATTATGCACTTTTCTACCATAGAATGGAATATTTTGCATCACAGAAAAGGCTCAAATCGATACTGGTTAGCAATTCATCGTTTGTTACATACCTAGCCTTGTCCGATTATTGGGAATTTTGAAGCTGCTTTTCACCTTTGTACTTTGTTTTTCCATTCAGCCCATTTCCATCACTGTACATTGTGCTTACATAACTCTGTTAAGACAGGCTTTGTATAATAATTTGCTTGCCAAATCACATGTATGGCTAGATAGTAGGTGGCAGAAGCGCACAGCCAAATTAAGATAGATAATTATATCTCTTATCTTGCCAAGCTGGCAAGACGTAAGGCTTTCATTTCACTAAAAAGCATTTGCCCTTCCAATGGAGCTGGAATCAGGATTTAGGTGAGAAAATCGTCAAACGAGTATGTCTGGGAAAGTCTATAAAGCTTTTGATAAAGTTTCTCACTATTTTATTTAATTTATAGGAGCATATAACGCATGTTTTGAAATTATTGAACGCGGCAGAATCACAGGCAGAATTCAACAAAAAAATGTTATTAAAAATCAAACGAGGTAAGCTCGTCGAAGTCGAAAACCAAGAAACGCTCGTCTGTCGCAAAAATGTTGCATGACTGAGTGCGATCCTTCCTTCTATTGCTTTTAATGACATGTTAATATGGTAACAAGCAGTGTAGCGCATATAAATGAATGTTATTTTGCGCCTAAAAAATGGCAGCACATGTTCTTGCTTATTTGAGGGAGTTTACACAATTTTACATTTTTAACTTGCAGAGTGGAAATAGTGCGCAAAGAACGTTGTTTACCCCTTAAAGAGCTTTTCCAAAAAAGTACGTAAAACGTTACTTTTACTGCAAGAAAAAGCGGTGTATTATTCAGTAATTTTGAAGAGTTGTAATTCAAAACAATATCGGTGGAAAGTTGAGCAAAAGAAATATTGTTACTAAGAAAGTCGACAAAGACAAAATAAAATATAAAAATGACTACTACAGTTTTAAAAACTTCGGGCCACCATCTACGAGTTTGATAAAAGCATACACAAAATTTGTCACACATCTAGATACCTAATCGCAAAGCGATAAAAAATATACCCCAGTGTACTTCTAGGTCTGTGCTGGATTTTTTTTCGTCCAGAACCCCACACTTAGAATCCTAACATACTTTATCACCGTAAAAATATTCAACCCGAAGGTTGGTATCCGTCAGCTTTAAAGCCTCCCAGTTCCCAAACATGAAATATGCGAATTATCTACGGATGAATAAATAAATAGTTCACCTAAAAAATACATGAGTAGCATTTTGTAACGTTCGGGGGGGGGAGGGGTGCAGGCTTAATCAAAGCCCGTCGAACTATTTCTTCGTATTCTTCTTCTTTCTTCGTTCTTGTACTTTCTTTGGGATATGTCCGTCACTACTAATATCGGTCAAAAAGCTATAAGTCCAGAACTCAAGCGTATTTTTGAACTTTGGCCATTAAATCGCTGATTGACGCACCACGTTTCATGAAAGATGTGCTTTAACTTTCAGAAATCGTCAACATTAACATAACGCGTGTTTCTTCAATCAGCTGTTCCAGCAAAATGTAAATCAATAGTCTGTCACTGTGCTATAGTTTTAAAAATCATTTTTCAAGTATTATCGAAGTATTCTTTATTTTAGGTAGCTTACAAACAACAAAACATTTTTTTAACTATTTAAAAAATAATGTTACTATTATTTTCATTACTGTTTTTGCTCTTCTGAATTTTTATTTTATAATCAAATCATTTCCAATAAATAGAACAAAAAATTTATTTTAAAACACGTTCAAATACAAAACATTCTGGAAAAATTTAAAAAAGTATTTCGGTGAAATTTTACTATTTAATAAACATCGAATATACCAGTTAGAATATAAGAAACCTACCTTTAGTTAATTTGATCTGGTGCACTAAATATATTTATCAGAGGCTCATTTTCATTTTTCACTAATATCACATTACAAAAACTCCTAAGAACAATCTACCCAAAAACTCATCAGCGCGATTATAATTGCACCAAATCACAGTGATGGTGAGTATAACACATTATTTTAAATGTTTACTTAGAGAAAGGAATCTGACAAAGGACGGGAATGTAGGAAAAAAATTCAAACTTTTGGACTTAGCGGGATGCATCCATGGATTTCTCGAAAATAAAATTGAGTGCAGTCGCGAAAGTTTTGCCTTCAACTGGCCCTCCATACAGCGGTCCTCGAGAATCAGAGGTGGAAAGGCATGCGCCAAATATTGATCCGTGCCCTCAAAATACACTGCCCCTCCAAATTGCTTGCTAACAGTGTACATAACACTCAAAAACGTCGCCGCCGATAAACAAGCGCAAAGTACTGTATCGCTCTCTAATCATTTTCTGAATTTCCTAAATGCAACCTGTATCTTAGTATGTGGGCATTTTGAGATCCATGCTTACATGAGATTGTGATTTTTTAACGTACATTCTGCCTTAGAGATATTGACACTGCTTCCTTAATTACCCTGTATGTGCCAACCTGAAGAAAAAAATTCTTTTACCAAATTTATTTAAAAATCTGGCAACATTGCAACACACTCTGGGGAATAATTCTAGTGCATCCTTATGTGTTTTTCCATCTCTATCATTACGTGACTTCTAGAACACGTCAAAAAAGTCATCTTTTTGAGGTTAACAGTATTGTGATCGTTTGGCGTTTTGAATTGTCTTGCCGTGTGTTCATTTTCAGGGAATTTTGAAAGAAAATTTGAAAATCCAATAATCGGCCAACATGAGTACAATTTTGGAGAAAATCGCCGCCATCGAGGCTGAGGTAAACCAACAATTTCCATCTGATTTCCCCACCTAACCTATAAACATTACCTTAGATGGCAAGAACTCAGAAAAACAAAGCTACAGCGGGGCATTTGGGGCTCCTGAAAGCAAGATTAGCCAAATTGAGGAGGGAACTGATATCCCCCAAAGGAGGTGGCGGGGGAGGAGGAGAGGGTTTCGATGTGGCAAAGACTGGAGATGCTAGAGTGGGTTTCGTAGGATTTCCATCAGTAGGAAAATCAACGTTACTCAGTAACCTGGCTGGGGTGTATTCTGAGGTTGCGGCGTATGAGTTTACCACCCTTACCACTGTTCCAGGATGTATTAAGTATAAGGGAGCCAAAATTCAAGTAAGTGGGAAAACTTTAAAGCTCTAAGGTATCTATTATGTAAACATAGATCTGTTTTCATCTTGATATTTATTTTTGAAGATGTAAACGAGAAATAAACATATGTAATAACAGGCTACGTCATGGAGACAAATCTTTTCAAATATTATTTGTAAACAGGATAACCATTATTAATGCAACTTATTATTACTATTATTGGCACTATATCAGTAGGCAGAAAAGTCCAATGACACTGTTGTGTAAAGCCTTTTTGCTATGCTGGATAATGCTCAAAATGTACTGCTTGGTCTTCTAGGTCCTTATCCAACTTATTCTTGAATAAATTGACAGTTGTTTCTTCACTACGATAGTTCCACAAGTATACCACCCGATTTGAAATGAAATTTCTCCTTATCAACTTAGATCTCTTTTTGAAATTTTTGTTCCCTCATAATCTTTGCTCAGCAAGGGTTGTCAAATTCACAGCCCTTTGACATTCATATGGTAAAAGTCGAATCTCTGGTGAAATTTGCTTTATTTTATGTTGCAATCTTTCTAGTAGTTCAATGTTTTTAACAAAATACCATATGCTGTATGCATGTACAAGTTTTGGTTGAATGTGCCTCTTGTATAGCTTTTCCATCATAACAGGATAATGGTTTTTAATAGCTTTCTCAATTAAGTATCACTAAGTTGTTTTTTAATTTTGTTGGTAAATTCTGTGCTATTATAGGTCTTTCTGGTACTGTACATTTATTTTCAATTTCTACCTGCCCTATACTATAGTTTATATCAGGATTTGTCTTCCCAATATGAACTATTGTGCACTTTTCTGCATTGAGTGTCATTTGCCACTTCTGAGAGCACTCCTTGATGGCAAGTATGTCCTTCTCAATTTTGACCCCTTGTAATGCAGGATCCCAAATAGCTTGCTATCATCTGCATAGAATGAAATGTTTGTTTTTATATCCATTCATAGATCTGATGTGTACACAAGGAATAAAAGAGGTCAAAGTACAGAGCCTTGTAGAACACCACTCCCTATTTGCTCTAACTTGGAAGGTTCTGTCTATAAGAAATACATCTATCTAACCTAAAAGCTTACCTTGTACAGCAAAATAATGAAATTAATAAATCAAATGTTTATGTGGAAAATGTGTAAATGTGGAAAAACAAATATCTTGAAAACTATTAGCTTTAGACACTTCTAACAAGTAAACCTTTTTTGCATAATCCATTTAATCGCTTTGTTACATTTCTTCATAACCAGTATTTTTCTAAGATAGACTAACTTGTGACAAATATAATCCCTTATGAATTGATGACAGGTTTGCATAGGAAGTGTAGGATCAACCTACTTGCCATTTTTTATGAGAATTCTATACTTAATCCTCTGCATTATCCCTCTATCATATTTCCAAAACAACAGTTTATATCACATAAAACGAATAAGCAATTTAAACTGTAATTTTTCCCATTTACCATGTCAAGTTCTAACCATCTGTCTCTATTAAGTCCTTATGTGTCATATGGCCAGATTTTTTTGTTTATATGTCAAAAAATAAATGAATCACATAGAAATAGATAACCCTAGATCCTTGAAGTATCTGATAGTGTTAAGCTGACAAAAATGTCTATTTTTTAGTTGCTAGATCTACCTGGAATTATCGAAGGTGCAAAAGATGGCAAAGGTAGAGGTAGACAGGTAATTGCAGTAGCTCGAACCTGCAGTTTGATTTTCATGGTGTTAGATGTATTGAAACCTTTGCATCATAAGAAACTTTTGGAGCATGAATTAGAAGGATTTGGGTTGAGGCTAAATAAGCAACCACCTAACATCTATTTTAAAAAGAAAGACAAGGGAGGAATCAATATGAACTGTATGGTAATTTCACCTTTCTGTAATTTGTAAAAACGTTTTTTGGAATCATTATGTTCAATTTCAGGTGCCTCAATCTGAACTAGACCTTGATACAGTAAAGACTATTCTCTCAGAGTATAAAATACATAATGCTGATGTGACATTAAAATATGATGCCACCAGTGATGATCTTATAGATGTTATTGAAGGAAACCGCATTTATATACCTTGTATCTACCTACTTAATAAAATAGGTAACATTTTAGTAATTTAAAAATTTTAGGTTTTGAACTCAAAGTTTGATTATTTTCAGATCAAATAAGTATTGAAGAATTAGATGTCATCTATAAAATCCCTCATTGTGTCCCAATATCAGCGCATCATAGATGGAACTTTGATGATCTTTTAGAGAAAATGTGGGAATATCTAAAATTAGTGCGGATGTAAGTGTATTTTTCCAAAACAACAAAACTTAAGATAAGATATTTTTTAGAAGAGTTTTTTGTTAACCTTTCAGATATACAAAACCTAAAGGACAACTACCTGACTACAGTTCACCCATTGTTTTACATTCTGACCATACCTCCATCGAAGATTTTTGTAATAAGTTGCACAGAAGTATTGTTAAAGAATTCAAATAGTAAGTTGATAGAATATTTTTAGTTGAAAAATAAATTCGACTTAGTTTTAGTTTTTATACAGCTCTTTGCATGCCTTGTGATTCTACTTTATTATATTAATTTTTTGTTTTATCCACTTTTCAACCAGTGTCTGCAATAGTCCGGCACGGGTATTACGTATCTTAAAAAGTTACATTTCGTAGGTTTTTCAGCACAAGCTGTTGTACACTTGTGAACTCCCTTTGTAGCTGTACATGTTGCTTAAACGTGACTGAACAGCAATCATAGCAAGCAAAAGTGGAATAAGCTATATCTCGTATATGCACACTAAAAACTACCTAATCTACAAGATGACATTTTTTAACGTTTTTTGGGTTTTTTACATAATAGCCGTGCCGACTGTGGCACAGTACGCTAGCTAATAATTCACCAGAACCTCAACAATATTTTTCTTTTTTCCAGTGCTCTAGTGTGGGGATCTTCAGTGAAACATCAACCCCAAAAGGTAGGGCTTGAGCACATTCTGAACGACGAAGATGTTGTACAGATTGTGAAAAAGGTCTGATGCTCAGTCTTTACCAGCTTACAGTTTGTTGCACAAATCTTAATATTTACTACTTATAAGAGTAAATAAAAACTTGTTTTGAAATAAATATTTTATTGAACATTTTATAACATACTTTAAAATAGAACGCTACAAAACATAATTTCAATATTCAATCTATAATCCTGTAACTTTAAACACATTTGAAAATTGAATACAACAAAACAGCATTTTATTTAATTATAACACACACAATGGGAAACGCATTGTTTTATTATACATACACTACTAAAAAAAATGAATAGAGCAAGAAAAAACCCAAATCTTTCGGTGATTTTTGACGGGCTCTATTAATGGGAAAAATACAAGTACTAATTCAAAAAAATTAAAATCTCGATACGATCATTTGGTGCGGAGACATCTGACTTTGAATGAAACAGGATCCTTTTGTCTTCAACCAATGATATCTTGGTCACGTAGAGAAACAAAAATGTTGCTTCTTTTATTTCTTTCAAATTTTGATCAATCGGGTAGGAGAAACCGTACAATGGATCGAACTGCCGCCGGGCAGGGTTATTAGGGATCCAATGAGGTATACAAAGATATAAAAACATTAGCTTTTCCATTTGCAGTCCCAAAAATGCAGTCGATTTTCCAAAACAATGCAAAAAGTGCCTTTTGACTTTTTAAGGAAATAAAGAATCCTCAAATATTGCAATCGAATCTTATAGGAGATTTATTACAGTTTTCGAAAATACCTTTACATTCTCTGCGCGAGCACTGGTTATCAAGACAGTGGTCGATGATAAAATGATCATTTTTCATTCAGTCAGATATTTCTGCGACAATTGATCGTATCGAGATTTTAAAAACAGGATATTGAAGCTGAATAAATGGGCTATCTGATCCATATGGCCTAACAGAAACATGTTTTCAAGCCCGTGGACTAGAAAGAAGGAAAGTTTTGCAAAAAAAATGTCCTTGCTGCTAACATTTTTCGGCTAAAAAACCTGAAAACTAAGATCTTAAAGCTTCAAAATATTTATTAGTCTTTAGTCTAGTTTCGACCATATTTCACCAAAATACTGCTTATTAAAGATCACTGAAAAATTTGGATTTTTTTTCTTGATCCCTTAATTTTTTTGAGCAGTGTATTAGATATTTTAGGAAAATCATAACACTGTAAATTGTAACATATTTTAAAATTGAACACAACAAAACATTTCACGAAATTTTAAGATGTCTACAATAAGAACACATTATTTGAAAATATACATTTTAAATATTTAATGGAATTATAACACAGTAACTTGTAACACATTCTAAAGTTAAACACAACAAAACGTTTTTTAAAATTTTGAGATGTGTACAAAAGAAACACTTCGAAATGAAAAATGATATATCTTACTCTGTTGTCAAATGGTAAAGCTTAGACATACATAGGAGATCATAAACTAGGCTGCAATATTTCATTTTTGATCATCATAACAGGTTATGAAGCTAAAGCTAAAGCTTTTTCTTGATTTTGACTGGAAGCGAATCCCAAAATTTCAACCTCTGAAAATTTCTCATGGCAAAGTTTCCATATGCTACCTTGCTACATTATAACGGGTGGGCCATCTATCGGTTTCGATTTGAACCACGTGTTAATTTGACGCTGACAATACTTATGTCAATCTGATTTGTCATAAAATTCAGTATATTATCTCCGCTGAACGAAATGAATCGATTTACGCTTGAGCAACGTTGGGTAATATTGGAAATTTATTTCCAAAACAAAGACAATTGGGCAGAAATTGCACGAAAATGCCGTTCAAAATTCGGTCGCAACGAAGCACCAACAGCGCCCGGTATACGCAAGTTTATTAATAAAGTGCGTGAAACTGGTTTCATTGTTGATGCTCCAACACGTCAGCGTGCTCGTACAGTGCGTACACCCGAAGGTATCGATGCTGTGGCTGCGAGTGTGCGTGAAAATCCATCAACGTCAACACGTCATCGTTCCCAAGAATTGAACATTTCCCGCACCAGTTTACGACGAATTTTGCGGAAAGATCTCGGTATGACGCCTTACAAAGTTCAATTGGTTCAAGAGTTGAAGCCGCGTGACCATCCACTTCGTTCTGCCTTCGCTACATGGGCCAACGAGCAACTAATCAATGATGTCGATTTTGCGAAAAAAATAATCTTTTCAGACGAAGCTCATTTTCATATTGGTGGCTACGTCAATAAGCAAAATTGCCGTATCTGGAGCTCGGAAAACCCACACGAGGTCTTAGAGAAGCCAATGCATCCCTTGCGAGTGACTGTTTGGTGTGGATTGTGGAGCGGAGGCATCATTGGCCCATATTTCTTTGAAGACGGGGACGGCGCAACCGTTTCTGTCAATGGAAACACCTATCGCACCATGATAACTGATTTTTTTGTTCCTGCTCTTGATGGTATTGATGTGGAGAATGTTTGGTTTCAGCAGGATGGTGCAACTTGTCACACATCGCATGCCACAATCAACTTATTGCGCGAAACCTTCGATGGCCGTTTAATCAGTCGAAATGGTGATGTCAATTGGCCGCCAAGAAGCTGCGATTTGACACCATTGGACTATTTCCTGTGGGGCGCTGTTAAAGACAAGTGTTATGTCGACCATCCAGAGACAATTGACCATTTGAAGGCCAACATTCGTGATGCCATTGACGAGATACGGCCCCAAACACTCGAAAAAGTGCTCGAAAATTGGTCCGATCGAATGGGCTACTGTGAGGCCAGCCGCGGCAGCCATTTGAATGAAGTAATATTTCATTTCTGAGCGGAACAATTGTACTTCAAAACAAAAAAATAAATTTGGCAATATCTCAAACCGTTTTTGTTTTATTTTATTTTTAAATCGAAACTTTTAAATGGCCCACCCTATATATAACAACAAATCAAGGCAATATAATTCATTTATAATACTGCATATTTCTTGCATTTATTTTTATGTGATTTAAAAATTATTTTTAACCAATATAGTTTCAGTACCCTAGCTTTGTCTGGCCGAATCAAACCACAGATTTTTGAAATTCTTTTTTATTGTATGGCGTTGCGATCCCAACGGTAATCTTTTTCAAGCCCAATAACACTTTTGACAATAAATTATGTTACAACAGAAGCAAAATAAAGTATATTGTCAAAAGTGTCACATTATACTTGAAGAAGGCCACGGTTGGGACCACAGCACTCTACAAAAGAAGAATTTTAAACCTATTTGATTCGGCCAGACAAAAATATGAGGGTATATCACCATAAAAACCACAGAATGGCTTTCAGATGTTACATCAATATTTTTTTATAATATGAAATTATTTTAATTAAGCGTCCCAGCTTTACGAATCCCGACAACAGTAGTGGATGAGCAAAACGTACCTTCACGAAATGAGCCCTCCCTCATTTGCTGTAACTAACAGAGCTTCAAAAGGTTGTCTTGGTACTGTGCAAAATCGAAATGAGGAAGATGATAACGAAGCAGCAACACAAGACCACTAAACACTCTAATATCACAAAACTTTGCCTAATAATAACCTAGTGAATGAAAAAACTTTTGCATCACATACTCTTTATCATTACTGGATTGAGACGGAAGATGCTGACCATATCTTCTTGGAGACGTGTATTGTGGAATATATTCTACCATAGGTTGTTCCGTCATACATTTATAAGCTTCTGGAACATTCCTTGGATGGCCTATGTTTTGACGATAGTTCGGCACCATAACTGGCAAAGATAGACCTTGACTCTCGCCGAACCTATACATAGCGTTGTGATTGACAGGTGGATGAAACTCTTCAGAATAATGACTAACTGACTTGGGAAAACTAGTATCTTCATTATGACTTCTTTCTTTGGTTTTTGGTACCAGTTGCTCCATCAATTGTGAGCTATATCTGGGGCTATATATTTCAGGTACATTATGATTAAATAATCTTTCCTCGACTAGATTATCATTGATTTGTGTCGGAATGTGTTTAAACTTTGATTTCACAACCATAGAATTGTCCATTGTATCCTCAACATAAGGTCTCTGATGTCCTCTACATGATGAACGAGGTTTATGTTCAGTATGATTTACCTCTAATTCGTGCATACTTGCTGTCTGAGAATATCCATGCTCTGGATATCCATAATCTGGATAACTCATCATATCCTTCTCTGGCAAATCAGGAATATATCCAAAACTTTTATTATGCACTGGCTCATGAGCAAACTGTTCTGGGACCTCTGAATACATATGCCTAACAGCTTGGTATTGTGATGGAATATTTCTTATAATATAGTGAGATTGGTGAGCATCTGGATAATATACAGAGTGATTTGGATTGTTGTTCATTTGTAGCAGAGGATCATATTCATTTCTATAACTATAATATGGAGGTAAAACAGGTTGTGGAATATATGGAATGCGTGAATTTCGAACTTGAGATGAGGAAGGTTCAGTTGGATTAATTCGTTGAGGTACCTGAAAAAAAACCCAAGAACCCTAAAGAAATTGCTTTTAAACATATGATTTTCAGACTTATTCCCCACCCTTAAACCCCCCAAAGATACAGAAAATGAAATCTTAGGTCTAATTTCGAGGGAGATTGAGGGGCCTTTCCTTTGAAGGTTGACGTCATGTTTAAGAATAAAGAATTTCCTTCAACAATAAAATGGAGGGCAGTTTTTAGTGCTTATAAGAAAACTTCTGCGACGCTACATGGTAACATGACTGTGACGATGGTATGGGAAAGTCCAAATACAGCATAAGACTGGATATCTTCTTCATCATACTTTGATGGTTTCACACAAGTGGTATTGGGTATTTATAAAACATTTTTGTACTTTTTTGTATTTCGTGGCAAAACGTTTAATCTCAGACAAAAATATTGCACACAAATAAAAGGCATAATTTGCTAATCAAAAGTTTACCTGGTATTCTGTTCTTCTATAGATATTCCCGGTACACTGCAGATTCATACATCCAGAACAAGGACTGCTAACTGGTCTAGCGATAACATTTTCTGTTGGTTGATAGAATTTTTGTGAAGTTTCATGGTATTTTGATGGATTATCTGCGTAGACTGCCATTGAATCCATATAACCTTGACTGTTCCTTATGGTCTGGCTATGGGCATGTGACCTGTAGAAATTACATAGTGTTTGTATACTAACATTTCTTAAACATACGGAACGTATTTAAGGCTTCTTTATTCTAAGAATACTTTGTTTTTTCATGGTTGTCTAACGCTGCATAATACTGGTATTCAAAAGTCATGTTGAAAAATAAGATGTGCCCAATAGAGAATATATTTTATGCTTGCAATCGGGCGGATTTGGCAACTTTGCAAAATAGAAGCATTCACGCCAAAAGACGGCAAGGCAACTAGTTGCTCAAGGGTTGACGGATCTGACATCGCTAGTGGATTTGCAGTTGCATAATCGGACACAAGAAATATACCTGCTTGTATACCGGGTATTTCAAATTCGACCCTCACCATTGGGATCTTGGAAACTGTAAGAGACACAACGTCGCTTAAATGGGGGCAAAGTTGCGTATTTAGGTTATTAAGAAAGTGCCGCTCAAAAAGTTTAGAAATTCAAAGTACTTCCGGAGAGAGAAAAAAAAAGCCGAATTTTCCCAAAACCATTTTAATTTTTTCCTGACTATATTTCTAGTGGGATTTTAAAATAAATAGCACTTTAACATTGCCACTTTTTATTATGTACAAGATGACATAATTAGAATTTCAGTATGATGTTTCGTCTCTTGTCCAGCATCAACTTTACTTTTTCTTATGGACGCCATATTGAAATTTTGCGCAGATAAAGATAGTTTTTTGCCAAACATTAGTTATTCCAGAAAAACAGAAGTTCCTAGGTAGGACTTGAAATTATCAGATATTCATTTGTTTCGAATACCAGACTTCAAATTGAACATAGTAACAAAGTTTGGAAAACTGAGAAAAAGAAAAATAAATAGAACAGTAAAAAATCTACAGAGAAGAGTCAGGCTTTACCTACAAAATAACGAAAAACATTTTAAACACCTACTATGGTTTATCTCTGCTTCTTTATGATTATTATTGTTATTACCATCAATAAAATGTTCATTTTGTGTTGAGGTTTTACCATACCTTTTTATTTCCTTGTAATTTTTATCCAACAAAAAGTTCATGGCCAACTAGATGAATACATCACTGAATCTAGGACTGAAATAAAAATACTCAAATTCACCTACTCACACCAAAAAAAGACATTATGTTAAGTACGTTTATGTTCCAAGGTCCACTAACATACAACCGTATACCAAAATAACTAACTAAATACAAAAGTCACCAATTCAAAATGTCAGTCAAAGATTGGATAACCGATTTGCCAAATTATAAAAAAACGAGTTTAAATAAAATATATATGTATATGTATGTATATACACTTAGTTTTTAACGACTTTAAACGACACACAAGGACATTATCCTTTTGTGGTTTTTTCTACCTAGGAACTTATGCTCGTTTGAAATAACTAAGGTTTGTCAATGTCTGACGTATCTGCGCAAAAATCCAGTATAGCGTCTCTAATAAAAAATAAAGTTGATGTTGGGGGACAAGAAACGAAACATCATATTGAAATTCTAATTATGCCATCTTGTAAGAGGAAAAGTGGAGATGTTTATATGCAATTTATTTTGAAATCTCACTACAAATAAAGTCAGGAAATAATTAAAACGATTTTGGAAAAAATCGTTTTTTTTTTCGTCTCTTCCCGGAAGTACTTTGAATTTTTAATTACATAAATACGCAACTTTGCCCCCATTTAAGCGACGTTGTGCTCGTACAGCTTCCAAGATCCGAATGGTGAGGGTCGAATTTGAAACGCCCGGTGAATGTTGTTACTTTCATGGGCGCCTAAAGGAATTTTTCACAGCGGGGGCTATTAGACATCGGCAAGAGGACATTTTTTATGCATAATATATTGTTATTATTGTGTTTCAACTCCCAAAAATTTGAAGAGCGGGGTACATTTTTTTCATGACGGTACTGTCCTTACCTATTTTCACGTGCAGCTTCATTTTGTAACTTTGGAACCAAATCAGGACTACTATACATACTACGTCCTTCAATCTCAAACGTTTGGCAAGAATCCTTTGATATATCCGACTTTTCCTCTTTGGCACTATCATTAACACTTTGCTTCTGAGTACTGTCTGCTTTGGACACTTCGGCTTGCTTATCGGGAGTATCACTTCTTTGGAAGTGCGAAAAGTACTCCATAGCAGATTTCGGTTCGCATTGTTTAACTTTTTTCGATGATTTTATCCGGTCCAAAGTGGGACTGGAATAGATGTCTGAATAATCCATGTCGTCTGAAGTGTCTTTTTCTTGTTCTTTTTCTTCGTCTCCATAATCTTTGTCCCGTAAAGGGAAAGGGTTGCACTCAGGTCTTGACTTGATGGTTTGTTGTTTTTTCGGGGTTTTTATGATGTTTACTACCAAGTTTGGTACGTTTTTGTGTCTTTCCAATTTGTTTGTTTGTTGAGTCCCACTAAAATCGTATGTAAGATATAAATGAAAATATTAGTATCTGCACACATGGCATGCAGCATGCAAGAGTTGCAAACTTAACGTATGATTTAAAAAATATAGGTAAAAACAAAAAATCATGTAAATATGACTTAAAATGACCTATCAGGTAGATGCGAGTTACAAAACACATTCTGATACTGAATCTCATATAAATGTAGGCGTACCTTTCAAATCGAAATTCTTCTTGATGAGGCATCTTATTCTGATAAGCAATCTTTGGAGAAAATTTTGTAGCAGGGGAAAATACTAACGGAGATCTCCATGTTATATTTTTCTGTACATTATTATTGTTATCTCTGTTTTTATCATTGAAATTATATTTCTTTTGACTTGCATCCATCTTTGGTACCAACACCTCCGTGATTGTATAAATACTGTTGTCAGGTTCCGCCGCCCTATTCAGGTGTGTAATTTTTTTCTTTTCCGGTAATTTGAAGTCTTGTAGTCGTTTACGTTTTGGTTGGTCTTCGTCAGTAATAGTTTTCTACAATGAGTGGAATATTTGTACATGGTAAGTAAAATTCTATAGATTTTGAACTTAGGAAGGGTGTAGTATCCAATGTCCACGATTTCCCGTCAACAAGAGGTGTAAGCAGAATTTTCGTACGTTTAAGAATGAAATGCCTTTGTTTGGAGTCGTTGGGAAATTCTGACTAAAAAATCCTTCTAAACACATAAAACAAACAAGAACTATAAAATTGCATTTTTGGGCGTAAGCGACTTCTGTATTGAAGTGAAGATTATCAGATTATTCAAAAAAATATTACGATTAGTAAAAATGTAGCTTGTTCCTCATGTTACTCGATTTGTTGTTTTTATAACTCATAGTTAATTACCAAAACGGAAATTATATTTTACGCTTCAACTAACTTAATACAAACGAAAACTTCAAGTACATAAATATACAATAATAATAAAAACTTGCCTGTAGAGATTGTACCAAATTATGCTCAAAAACCTTAAAAATACACACTTAGCGTCACGTTGAAAACTTTTATAAGAATGACATTTCTGACTATATGCTTGGGCTATTCAATTGTTTCAATGGTAATGCGATCTGATTTGACAAGTTTTCCAATAGCAGTATGGAACAGTCAAATTAGGCATATTGTAGATAAAATGATTATTTGAAATAAAATGGTGTTTTATAGGGGAATTGGTGCCAAGAAAATATAGTAAACCATATAAAAAAAATTAGATACAGTAGCGGACAAAAGTTTGGAAACATTCTTAGTAATTTTTAAAAAGCGTGCTAATTTTTTATTCTTTATTATTAAGGACTATTTTTTTTCTCATATAGTCTGCTTACAGTCTTGCGGATACAAATGACAATTTGTGTTTACTGTGGTACTACAGACTAGTATTAAAATACCTTCATATTATTTTATGACCGAAAATGAGACGACAAAATTATGCAAAGATATTTTTGTTACAAAATTAAATACAGTAACTCTACAAAAAAACACTGCTTAGCTAATATTTGGTAGCATGGCCTTTAGCATTCAACACTGCCTGACATCTACTGCTTATAGAAGACACCAATTGTTTACAGACGTTTGTTGGTATATTTTGCCAAATATTTTTTACATAATCAAGTAAACCGTTCCTATTTTTGAGTTTTTCTTGTCAGTTGTCTTTTAACGTGCTCCCAGAGATGTTCTATAGGGGGGATGTCCGGGGATTGCGAAGGCAATGAAAGAACATTAACATTTTTTAGTCTTAACCAGTCTTTTACGACTTTTGAGGTATGCTTGAGGTCAGTATCTTGCTGGAATGTCCATCGTAAAGGCATTTCTGCTTCAGCAAAAGGGAGTATGTGTTAACTAGGAGTTTCTCTGTAAAGTTTTTGATCCATTTTCCCAACAATTTTAACAATTGGACCCATTCCAGAACTAAGAATACAGCCACAAACCATGACGTTGCCTCCACCGTGCTTATCTGTTGGCAACTGATACTTTTTGTCGAATCTTTTTCGTATTGGACGTCTCACTTATGCCGTCAGATCCTAAATTCATAGAACAAACGTTTAATGTAGCGATTTAAAACAATCGGTTTTTTCCTGTCTTCCGCACCTGGGCCGCGTTGCTGTTGATCCGTATTCTTGATATTTACTAATAATTTTCGAAATCGTCTTCATGGTCATTTTTGATATTTGAGAAATATCAACATTTCTGACACCACTTCTAAATAATTCAGTTACTTTGCTTCTTGAATCTTTTGACAATTCTTTTACTTTTGACATTCTCACTGATGTTCATATTTACCGCACGCACTATCAGAGTATCGCAGAACGAATAAATTTGGAAAAACTGAAATGTTTCCATCCATACTTTCGTCGTTACAAAAACTGTGGTACTTAAAAAACGCGTGTTTTTATTTCTTGAGAACTTGAATATTGATAAGATAAACCTTGTATTAGTACGGGAACCAAAGGTAGACTTTAATATTTTTAAGTTATGGAATCCTTTTCTTTTGACCGTACGACGTGTGCATTCCTTATTTTATATTATCTGTTCATTCACAATTTTAATTTTGGTACATGAAATAGTTCATAATAATGTTAATATACGTTTCCAAACTTTTGTCCGATACTGTATATTCATAATAAATAAGAAAAAAGTAAATGTTAGGGGAAGCCGAAAACATTAGATTTCGATCTGTTTTCAAATCTACTCCGTGCAGGCTATCAAAAATCGGAGATTTCGTCGGTATACTTACATTCAACCAATTAAATTTTCTTTTAGTGGCCAAACTTATATTTTTAGCAGCAGATGTTTTAATGCTGCAAGAAGGATGTTCACTTGAAGTGTCTGAATGTGTGTATTTTCGCTGCAATGCACTAAAGAGCGGTTCTTGCATTGAATGCATCTGCAACATTGCTAAGGACCCCTTATTTTCTGCAGATGTGGAATTATTGCTAACATCTTCATTACGTTCATTTCCTTTTTCTTTCTCAGGGCTGTGAGTACTACTTGGTAGTTCGACTTGGTTGATGTTGTTTACATCACTTTCTATATTTTCTTTGTTATCAATGGAAAATTCTAATTTCGAATTCTGCGTTGAATACTGAAAACAATATCACCTATTTACAATTTTGTGGTTTTTTTCACGTCAACCATTTTGATTAATATATTCCACCAAAAAAACCCAATTCACTTGAAAACCGTGCCTGCGCGATAATAATACGTACCGTGCCCAGTGATGGATCTTTGTATCCGTGTAGACAATGTATACAATAGCAAATAATAGTTCAAAGAGGTGACTTGGACATATTATGCAACTACTTTATAAGTGATTTTTGAATAACTACAACAGGTATATACAGGGTGGCGCATCGAAAACGAAACAGACGCATTTACTGGCAGCCTATTCTTTTTTTGGAAAAATGCTCAGACCCGTCGATTCTGTTTTCGAGGGGGACACAAGTTTGGAAAAAATCACGTTAAGACGTGCAGCCCCCTGGGCGGGGGTGACACCAACCCTAAAATCTTAAATGGAAAGGGGGTCGAGTGATACCTTATTTTAAAGGTCTTTCAATTCCCTTTATAATGATGTAAAATACATGAGCTTCAGTTCAGTAGTTTTGAAGATTTATTGATTTAAAGCTTAAAGTAGACTTTGATAGGTACATCAGATTAGTTTGTACTAATTTCAGAAGAAATTTGACTAAAAGAATTTACTTAATAAGTAAATGCTTTTCTTCACTACGCCCATGGTTTGTTTATCATTTTGTTGTTGACAATAGCTATTAGAGCGTTTTTTTGTGGCTAAAAAGCTATTTCTTGAAGAAAGATAAGGAAATATTTCGTACTTATTTTAAATAGGAAATTAGTACATAGTTTGCGATTGATTTGACGAAACTTTGTTGCTAAAATAACTTGTAACGCTTTATTACATAAATTAACCATGGTATATTCCACAGCAGAAAGAGTTGAAACTATCGAAATATTTTTCGGAAATAATCAGTGCGCTAATAGAACAGCAGAAATATTTAATGAGCGACATGGAAACAGTAACGTGCATCGAAAATATGTTCTACAACTTGTAGCTAAATTTCGGGAAACTGGGTCACTCGCCAATAAAAAACGGAGCATTGAAGATCCCATAACGAAGCAATAGAAGTGGGGGTTTTAGGGCAAGTTTATGTAGATCCTACGTTAAGTACCCGCAAATTGGAGACTGTGTGTGGTGTTAGTCGACGTACTGTCTAACGGATTCTAAAGGCCCATAGTTTTCATCCGTATAAAATTCACCTGGTACAAGAACCTAATGAAGACGATTTTGATCGGCGATTACAATTTTGTGAAGATATGAGTGAACGAATTATAAACGATGAACATTTTCTATTCAACACTTGCTTTTCCGACGAATGTTCCTTTTTCTTAAATGGCGTAGTAAATCGTCATAACTGCCGATATTGGTCCGATTCTAATCCCAGAATTTATCATACACAGCAGCCACAAAAATTAAATGTTTGGGCTGGTATTTTTGGCGATCATTTAGTTGGTCCTTTTTTCTTACCTGGAAATTTGACCGGTGAAATGTATACTAAGTGACATATAAATCCGAACACCCATTTTAAATGGTTTTATTTTAATCAAATTTTGTATAAGTACTTAATGAAGCATAATAAATTTCAAAATGATTGCACTGCTTTAAAGCCCTTTGACCTTTAATAATGTGTGGATGCACCCTGATGTGCTACGCATTCTCCAACGCGCCAAGGCATGCTTCTGATCAGGTGGTCAATGTCCTCCTGTGGTATCTCATTCCAGGCAACCACCAACTCCTCTCGAAGTGCTTCTAGAGTCTGAGGAGGACGTTGCAAATTGAGCAATCTCCTACCCATCATATCCCACACGTGCTCAATTGGGGATAAGTCGGGAGATCTTGGTGGCCATGGTAACAATGTGACATCATTATGTTGAAAGAAGTCTATTGTGACTCTTGCAACATGTGGTCGGACATTATCTTGTTGGAAAATTGGATCTGCCAGGGTGTCAAGATACGGTAAAAGATGGGGTTCTAGAACTTCGTGGATATAACGCTGGGCGTTCATGTTACCTCTGATGAAGATTAAAGGTGACCTGGAACCATAAGCTATAGCACCCCAAACCATAACTCCAACAGTGTGATGAACATGTCTTTCAACAAAAAACTGTGGATTCCTCCTTTCACCACGTCGCCTTCTAACCCTGGCACGACCATCGTGCATGCCTAAACAAAATCGAGACTCGTCACTAAAGACAATACTGTTCCATTAGTGATCCCAGAGTGACCGTTGTCTGCACCACTCAAGGCGATTACGTCGGTTTTCTCGAGTTAAAGGGAGGACCCAATGTGGCCGGTATGAAAACAAGCCAAAACTTCTCATTCGTCGGTAAACACTTCGCATGCCAATAGGTCTTCCGTGTTCTGCAAACCATTCATTTGCAATGGACCTAGTAGTGGAGAAACGGTCCCTTAAGGCCAATAATCTTAGGCGGCGATCTTCACGGTCTGTTGTTCTACGGCGGCGTCCAGTGCCCCTTGCTCTTTGCGTACGGCCTTCTCGAAGCCATGCCTGACAACACCTAACCACAGTGTCTACACTTCTTTGCACTCTAACTGCAATTGCCCGAAAAGAAAGTCCAGCTTCCCGAAGTCCCACTATACGGCCCCTATCAAACTCACTAAGTTGACGAAATCGTACAGGTCTCGTAAAGGATGTCAAGAACCAAAATCCGCTAATGTTGATTCTTTACTGCGGTTGAAATATTCATTTTTAGAGCGTTAGTGAATTAAAAAAAAGCAGTATAAAAACCGGAATGTCCAACTGATAAGGCTGAAAATTTTTTCACTTGTTATTTACAGTAAGATAAATACATTCACCAACTTTTATTAAAATAAAACCATTTAAACTGGGTGTTCGGATTTATATGTCACTTAGTATATTTGGAATTACTGGAAGACGCCATAGATCCTGCATTAACAGCCATAATTGAAAATCAGAATGATCGGCGGTACATTGCGAATAGGTTGATGTTCCAACAGGATGGTGCCCCACCACATTACGCATTACGTGTTCGACAATATTTAGATCAGACGTTTCCAGATCGATGGATTGGTAGAAAAGGTGCCATTGAATGGCCCCCAAGATCGCCAGATTTATCACCTTTGGATTCCTTTATGTGGGGTCATTTAAAAAGCAAAATCTATGGTACTCAGCCAACGTCATTAGAAGACCTGCGGCAAAGAATTGCGAATGAGTGCCTTCAAATTACTCCTCAAATATTGCGAAAAGTGCGGCAACGTTTTGAGCAAAATCTTTATTATTGCATGGAGAGTCATGGTGGCCATTTTCAACATTTACTTGCCTAACGGGTCAGTTCATTCGTCATTTTTAAAATTACTTTGCTGCCAAGTGTATTGATCTCCACTAATGTTGATGTATTAGTTTTATTTAAGCTTTAAATCAATAAATCTTCAAAACTACTAAACTGAAGTACATTAATTTTATATCATTATAAAGGGAATTGAAATACCTCTAAAATAAGGTATCACTCGACCCCCTTTCCATTTAAGATTTTAGGGTTGGTGTCACCCCCGCCCAGGGGGGGTGTTAACGTGATTTTTTATCAAACTTGTGTCTCCCTCGAAAGAAAATCGACGGATCTGAGCGTTTTTCCAAAAAAAAATGAGCTGCCAGTAAATGCGTCTGTTTCGTTTTCGATGCGCCACCCTGTATAAATATACGTAGATATTTATTATTTAGATATAGGGTGTCCCAATATTCCATGGACACCTAAGTACCACGTATTTTTAGACTCAAAATAAGCCCGTTGGTCATGATTTACCTCTACGCTTCATTTGTCCGTTACAGGGCGTCAAAGTTTTCTTTTTAAAATACATTTTTTTCAGATATTCTTGGAACCGATAGTACAATTTAAATGAAATTTGGAACACATGTGTCTTGGTTAGACGTCCTGATATATGACTTTTACAAAAAAACCCGAAAGGGTTCGAGAGGGAGGAAACTACATAAATTATTTATAGTAGAATTCTTTCCAACTCTCCCAACAACTGATTTTTTATTTACTAGATCTTTTTATTCCATTTTGGCCCTTTGTACTAAAAACAGTTCAGTTTTCGAGAAAAAAAATGTTTCGAAGCTGGTTTCTAAAAAATTATCTTATTTCATCAAGAGTTAAAATCTAGTAGGGATCTAGTTGGCGGAAATGTGGGATGGTATGTCAGTGTTAAGCAAAGTTTAAATTAATAAGTATTGTTTGAGTTTATTTTTGGTTGTTAATTTGTTGTTTGTTCATAAATTCTGAATTAATCAACGTTTGAGATTATTTTTGGTTGTTCTTATCGCTTGTTTCCCATGAATATGAAATATTATTTTGACGAACAGACTGATATGTGGGTTGTACCCGGTTTCTGCAAATGTAATTGCAGAAAAAGTGTTTGTAGTCTTTTGTAAGCATAGAGTCTTGTTTCACTCGATGAGAAAGTTGATGGTTCATGGATTGGTAGATGTCAAAAAAGTTCATATTCAATAGCCACCTCGTTATCCGGATCTTAATCCTGTTTTTATAAGAGAGAAAAACTGAATAAAAGGATCTGCCAAATAAAAAAAAATAGAGTCGACGGGAAAATTGCCAAAAAATTCTGCTATAAGTGATGGGATGGGGGTAATTTTCACCATTCTCGAATCCTTTAGAGCTTTTCCTAACTGTCAAATACTAAAACGTCTAGCAAATCATATGTGTCCCAAATTTCATTCATTCCGTTCGTAAAATACAGGGTGTAAACGTTATGATAGTCATTATTTTAATGGGTGATAGAGGAGGTTAAAAGAAGCAAAAAGTTTCAGATAACATGGGGGTCAAGACGGCATTTGTTTTTTAGAGAAACGCGAATTTAAAGTAAAATAAAATCTGACAACGCCGCAATGCCAGATGCAAATTACGATAGAACGCAGTGTAAATAAAAATGGATTTTGTTATTTTTGGCTCTTAGGTATTATTTTATTATTTGATAATTTACTTGTAAAATGCAAACAATTAAAAAAAACGGATTTA